CCACACACTCACACACACACACACACACTCACACTCACACATCCACACACACTCACACACTCTCACACTCACACATACACTCACACACTCTCACATACACACTCACACACACTCACACATGCACACTCACACACACTCACACACACTCACACACTCTCACACACACACTCACACATCCACACACTCACACACACTCACACACTCACACATACACTCACACACACATCCACTCACACACTGTCACATACACACTCACACACACACTCACACACTCACACATGCACACACACTCACACACTCTCACATACACACTCACACACACACTCACACATCCACACTCACACATTCACACACACACTCTCACACACACATCCACACTCACACACACACTCACACTCACACATTCTCACACACACACTCACACATCCACACACTCACACACACACTCTCACACACACACACACTCACACTCACACATCCACACACACTCACACACACTCTCACACTCACACATACACTCACACACTCTCACATACACACTCACACACACACACTCTCACACTCACACATACACTCACACACTCTCACATACACACTCACACACACTCACACACACTCACACACACTCTCACACACACACTCACACATCCACACACTCACACACACACACACTCACACATACACTCACACACACATCCACTCACACTCTCACATACACACACTCACACATGCACACTCACACACACACTCACACACACTCTCACACACACACTCACACACACTCACACACTCACACATACACTCACACATACACTCACACACTCTCACATACACACTCACACACACTCACACATGCACACTCACACACACACTCACACATCCACACTCACACATTCACACACACACTCTCACACACACATCCACACTCACACACACACTCACACTCACAAATCCACACACACACACTCACACATTCTCACACACACTCTCACACCCACACATGCACACTCACACACACACTCACACGCTCTCACACTCACACACACACACGCACACATTCTCACACACACTCACACACTCACACACACACTCTCACACCCACACATGCACACTCACACACACGCACACACTCTCACACACGCTCTCACACTCACACACACTCACACATGCACACTCACACATGCATACACACACTCACACTCTCACACTCACACTCACACACACATGCATACACACACTCACACTCTCACACACACTCGCACTCTCACACTCACACTCACACACACACTCACACTCTCACACTCACACACACACTCACACTCTCACACTCACACTCACACACACACTCTGACACACAAACGCACGCTCTCACACGCTCACACACACACTGATCCCCGCTGCAGCATACCCGAGTCGTGGTTTTGCCAGCCCCCCAGGATGTGTCCTGCCGCACCCCAGGCTTTCTCCCCCTCAGCGCTGTGGACATTCGGGCCAGCTCACTCTCCGCGGAGGGGCTGTCCTGCGCGTTGTGGGGGCTTAGCAGCATCGCTGGCCTCTACTCTCTAGACGTCCCTTCCCCCCAACACCACGGCAGAGTTGTGACCACCACCACTGTCTCCAGACGTTGCCAAATGTCCGCTCGAAAATGAAACTGCCGCTGCTCGACACCCGCTGTGCTGTGCTAACCTCGCTTCTGCAACTCAAACAACAGTCTCTTCCATTCCGCTGTAAAAAGTTCTGCCTCGAAGGAGCTCAGATCTAGCACCGTGAACACGAGCCTTACGTTGTTTGACTATATACAGGAGTTTCTCTCTGCCTCGTTTAACGGCCGAGACGCGGAGCAGGAGGAAGAACACCAGGGACAGCACCGCAGCCGACGTCAGCGCCAGGAAGAAGGTGATGATCTGAGGAGTGTGTCCTTCAAAAAAGAGCAAAAGGAGACATGCATGCAGAAACGGATTTATGCGAACACACTCATGTTTGTATTTACGTGGGTAAACTCCCAAGCATGAGAGTCACAGCCGTGGGCATCTCCAACCTGCTAACTTAGTAAACTTAGAAAACTTAAAGGCCGGGTGCAGTGGCTCACGCCTGTAATCCTAGCACTCTGGGAGGCTGAGGCGGGAGGATTGCTCGAGGTCAGGAGTTCGAAACCAGCCTGAGCAAGAGTGAGACCCTGTCTCTACTAAAAATAGAAAGAAATTAATTGGCCAACTAAAAATACATAGAAAAAATTAGCCGGGCATGGTGGCGCATGCCTGTAGTCCCAGCTACTCGGGAGGCTGAGGCAGGAGGATGGCTTCAGTCCAGGAGTTAGAGGTTGCTGTGAGCTAGGCTGACGCCACGGCACTCACTCTAGCCTGGGAAACAGAGTGAGACTCTCCCTAAAAAAAAAACAAAAAAACAAAAATAACCCCACCAAACTTAATTTTCCTAGAGGGCCACAAAAATTAAGTGGTTTAGCCTTTCTAGCATATAGAAAACATGGGAATGTTTACTTGACACGGATAAAGATGGAGCGTCTGTTTGGGTGAAGTCCCACCTCGCACTGCTCACTAATCTGTATCTCAGACCGAAATGACAAATGCCTGAGCAGAAACGGATGCTTCATCGTGGAAGGCAGGGTTCCAGACGGAAGGCGCGCCGGAGAGGCCTGTGGTAGGCAGAGCTATGAGACGTCACGCTACTGGGGCAATTTAGACACAGTTCGGAAGAGTCGTAACATATTCAGTTTGATTTAACAGCAACAAACCGGCTACCTGGCTCTCTCGCAGGGGCAGGCATGGTCACGGAGGATGTCCCTGGAGAGATGTCCGTCAAAACCGGGCCACAGACCACGTCACTCTCCTTCGTCCCATTCACGCGCACAGACTTTCCATCCAAAGAACAGCTTGGACGGTTCAATGAAAAGAGTTCAAAGAAATAATTTAGGTACAGAGGGTTCCAATGTAAAACGTTGGCATTTTTCAGCCAGTGCAGTAGCCTAGTGACCAGGTGTGTGGGTCCGTGTTCGCAGGCAATGCAAAGATCTGACAACCTCCCTCTTGACTATGTGGCTGCCGTCAGCTTCCCCGGCCCCTCCCTGCTCCACGGCTGCTTGGTTCGGGCGGCTTTGCCCGGTCGCGCTCTCACCCTCCGACTGCTTAACTGCATCTGACCACCCCTGGCACGTACGAAGGACGGCACAGGCTTAGGAGTCCCGGCATTGGCATCAGACAGACCGGGCTTTGAGCCCCCGGGTCTGCTGCTTTCCCGAACGACCTTGGGCAAGGTAAGAAATCTCTCTAAGCCTCAGTTTCCCATCTGCAAAATAAGGACTGCATATGCTCCCAGGACTGTTGCGAAGAGAGAATGAATGCGTGTGACTGACACAGTTTTGCACGCCTAGCACACTCAATAAGCGGCAGCTATCCGCATTGCCATGACCGCCCTGGTCCTTGTGCCTTTCCCTTGCTCCTTTACCTCCCCGTCCTCCAAGGCCGGGCTGAAACCCGCCTTTCTGTGCAGACACACTTGGCTACTCTGAACGGTGTGTGTTGGAAGGTCTTAAAGAAAAACCTTTCCAATCTGTTACAAACCAATGCCACTTGTAAACTATAATGAAAATGTAAATATAAAATAATAATAAAATGATTTTCTATAATAAAGTCAAATAGAAAAAAGACAAAGGCAATATAAAATACGAGGCTCTGGGAGGCCAAGGCAGGCGGATTGCTTGAGGTCAAGAGTTCCAGACCAGCCTGAGCAAGAGCAAGACTCTGCCTCTGCTAAAATATATATATATATAATATAAAATAGATATAAAATATATAAAAAATATATAATTTATATATAAAACATATAAATATATATATATATAAATTAGCCAGGCATGTAGTCCCAGCTACTCTGGAGGCTGAGGCAGGAAGGTCGCTTGCACTCAGGAGTTTGAGGTTGCCGTAAGCTATGATGATGCCACTGCACCTAACTGGGGTGACAGAGTGAGACCCTGTCTCGAGAAAAAAAAAAAAAGAGAGAAAAGAAAAAGGCTCAAATTTTTAGTCTTAGAATCAACAGACCACATTACTCTGCCAATCTGCCTTAAAAGTTTCTAAATGCTTCCTCTCCAACCAGGCCCTGCTGTTGCCGGGCACATATATCAAACCTCAAGTGGACCAGCACCTGACCACGGTTTGAGGAGCTCTGGTTCCACGAGTCGACAGCCACATTCTCTCAGATACCATTGGCTTTTTACTGCCTGTGGTGGCCGTGCGTGCCCAAGCACATGTTACGGTTTGGAGGGTAACAAGCAGTCTTTGGCCTCGTTATGTGTCATTCTCAGGGCTGGCACTGAGCATGGAGATGGGCTGGTTGGTGAGGAAATGTAAGAGGCAGCAGAGAGATTAGAAGGAGGCCAAGAACAGAAGCCCACCTGTGCGGACTGTGGCAACGTCCCACCTGCAGGTCTGATCTAGATGCTCCAGGCATTATTTTTGGAGACAATCCTCACTTTGCTTATTGAGTCACGAGGACCTTGCAGTATTAGTATGTTACGCTCTGTTTATGCTTGACAGGTGTAAAAAGGTTTTAATGATAGCATTCCTCATCTTTAAAAAAAATTAACCCAGATTCTTTGTTTTGTAAGCAAAAGGAAATTAATGTTTCTTAGCAAAAGGAAATGATACATACTTTGTCCAAGGTCGACAGATGCCATGTTTCTGATCGTTAAATGTCCCAAAGCAACAATCTTTACAACCTTGCATAAAAATGACAGCAATAATAAACAGGATGCATTTTCATCATTTCTTAACTTTTCCTGTGATGAACATTACAGTAAAGTCATTAACTTGATACAACCCACACAAATTGTTCAAGAATTCTTGAAACAAAGCCCTAAGATCACTAGTTTTATTCTAATTGTACATAGAGTACAGTATATATCTAAAATGTGTGAAGAGGCATATAGTTCTGGAAATTAACAAATGTTCTGATTTCATATTACTTCCATTTGTGGAAAAATAATGGAAATATCATTTTCTTAATTTTAAAGTATTAATTAAAATATGGTATTAATATATACATGATTCACTGGCTCATCACTTGTTACTTTAAGGTTCTATAAATCTATTAATATTGTTTATATTCAAAGGCTCAAAACCTAAGCTAATGACATATGTCTACATAATAAACACTGCACTGGATGGAAGAGGAGCAAACCTACCCTCTTTTGTTAATTCTTGACCTTGTTTACAATCCTGCTCGCACTTGGTGCATGCTGCCCCCAAGCAGTGGAACCCTGAAATGCAGTCACACTCTGCATCGCTGAAGTTGGAGCATGGCTTCTTGATCCTGAAAAAACCTACAAAGTGCCCCCAACATTTTATCATACTTGACCTCCAAATCCAGGGAGCAAATTTATGTTCTGCAATAAAAATCATGCTCGTTCTACTTACGTTCCTCGTGACTTTAGGGTACACAGTTTGCTTTTAAATCTCCATTAAGACATTTTTACATTTTGCTGATTAAAACATCTCTCTCATCAAATGAATGTTTCCTCTAATATTTAAAAAGCACCGATCCACAAATAATTGCTATGGTAGTAAATTATCTTACTGGACCTGCCCAATTGGCAGAGGAGTCAGCATCTTTGACACTTGAGATTTTCAAGATCAATCAGTAAATAGGGAGTAAAAGCTTATCTTTGCCAAAATCTTCTGGATGGAGAAAACATCTTTTAAATCATACCTTTACATTGCCTGCATATGACACAGGTCCTTTGTCCACCCATGCTGGAGAAACTATTTGGACGACAGGGAATGCAAGTCTTGTTTTCCCCACAGTAAGTACCTAAGAAAGGCAGATAATAGCTGTAGAATGCTTGACAATGGACAACTGTCACCCAAAGCACTATGAAGTTTGCAGGAAAATTAGAGTACAAAACAATGATTTGTTTTCTAGACACCACAGTGACAGACATTATTTTGACGGACTTCTAAAATTTTTACATTGGTAAGACTGTCTTTCGCATAATTGCAGAACTAGAAATAAGAAAATAAAGATGTTATAATAAATAAATCAACAGAAAGAAATTACTTTCCTTTGTCTATCAAATAAAGTAGAACGATTCTCTTGATTGATCCAGGAGATCATAGACTGGATCCAGGGGGAGATCAATGTCCTTCACTGCTACACTAAAATTTAACGTAGTGTCTGACTGTCCCCCTGTTAAGTCCTCTGCCACCTGCTAACTCCCTGCTGTGCCCCCAGTCTTGGCACAGAGCCTCACAGGCAAACTGACATTTACCGGGCTCCTGCCACGTGCCATGCACTGTTCTAAGCCCATCCTATGATCCTTCTAGCCACCCTGTGAGATGGGCTCTCCTATTATCCCCAGATGGTAGTTGAGGCACAAGAGGTTAAATGACTTAACTGTGTCCACACAGCTCATCTGTAGCATCCAGTGAATATTTGTAGATGAATGAATAAGAGATTCATTCATTGACGAACTCAACCATGGTTTCAACACAACAGGTCAGATACACATGTTAATTGCATACTTACCAGCCGGACAGTTACTACAGAAATCCTGCATTGATCTCGTCCTTTCGAAATTCAGGGCCAACAGGACAGCTGCCACCATGTTGTAATAGCCATTTCCCATGGTGAAATCTTGCATAGATATGCTACTAGGAAAGGTTCCAAAAGAACTTTAATCAAGTCAGCCAGTCCCACAAATGTCACTCTGCAAAAGATAATTTCCAAGGAAGGGTGGTTTCTCCTTCCGGAACTGTCTGCATGTCAAGCATCACCTACACAATTCCACAAGACCATAACTCGGGAACAATTAATGATGGAATATTATGGAAAAGTAGCAAATTCATAGGAACTTCTATGACAAGACAAGTTTGACTAATCACACAGCTTTGTGCAGGTTTACCAAAGTCTAAGAGTGCATTTTCCAACATGTTCTGCCAAAACGCAGAAATAACAACAACAAGAACTTTTGGGGACTTTCATAGGTACTTTGCAGATTTCAATGATGCCAATTGTTTGTTGCCCCTGAAATAGAGTCCTGTGGAGAGAACCTGTCAGTGTCATCAGACAGTTCAGTGCAAGGAGGTGGTATCTCACCATTTCTACTCCTCCTTTCACTAAGCACCTAACACTAACATGTTGGAAGATCTCTCTCCTCAATTCATTATCGCGTTATCTTAAACACAGACATATAGTTGCACACTTTAAGACCTGAAGCTTGTATAGTAAGAAAACTAAGGAGTCAAAATATCTTTTCAGGTCAGGTTCTTGATCTTTATTTAACAAGCTATTGAAGAGAAGTCATTACAAATTAGAAGAGAAAAATGTCCAGACAAGAAAGGTTCCATCCTCATGTCCCCAATCCCCCCACCCACTGCCCCAAATGGACCAACCTTGCAATCTCAGGCGCAGCACACTTCCCACTCCTCGGTCTCCCCAGGGTCTGTGCCCGAGGGCTCACAGCAGGTCAAGCCCAGGAGGCCGGGGTGACTCAGCCGGGGGCGGGGCCTCGTGGGAAATCCCCGCCACAGCTCTGTGACTGGCTCCTTTCACATTTGCTGGCCCCAAAATCCCATTGAGTACCTGTCCCCTGCTTGACGATGGCACTTCAAACCGTTTCTTGGAAGCAGCTTTCTACGGTTAGGACATTCCTCAGACGACTTTGCGAAAGGGATTTCGTGCGTCCTTAAAATACTGTGTCTGGGATTTGAGGGATGAAACTAACTTTTAAATAAAGATCAGCACTTTTGCCACACGTTGCCCCCTAACTGCATAATGATGGCGAAGCTGTAGCTATGATTTCTGGAGCGCAGCTGATGTACCAGAAACCAGAGACACACTTTAGTGATCGTGATCCTCGAAGGAACCCTAGAAGTTGGTCTCGCCACTGTCACTATTGGAGCAGCACTATGCAAATGAGCAAACTGGGGCTGTGCACCTAGCCAGATACCCAGCGGGCCACGGAGCCCGGTGGCACCCAGGACCCGCCCGGCTCCTGCCACTGTGGGAGAGACTGGAGAAGGAGGGAGAAGTGGAGGCAAAGCGTTCACAGGGCGGGTGGCACTGTGGGGTAAAGCTGAGAACTAGGAGCGATTTTTAGAAAGCCATGATTTCAATTATTTAGGGGGAAAAAAAAAAAGAAAAAGAGGAAGTGGAGGAGGAAGAAGACAAGGAGGAGGGTGGGAGAAGGAGGAAGAAAAGAACAGGATGAGGAGGGAAGGAGGAAGAGGAGAAGGAAGAATGAGGAGGAGGAGGAGGAAGAAGGAGGAAGAGAAGGAGGAGGAGGAGAGAGAGGAGGAAGGAGAAGGTCACTCCAGAGACTCTAAGAAGAACCTGTCCAGCGTTGAGTGGCCAGAGACCCTCAGGAAAACCACCAGGGAAACGTAGGCAGGGGGAAGGGATATCAAGAGTAGTTTTTACTAAAATAGATGGGTTTTCCATTATTATCCAAACAGAAAAGAACGACTTTTCCTCCAGAAAAATGGAGGCTTGGTTTCCAACTGGGGGATGAAGGAAGACAAGGGAGCTGATACTTACGAAAGACCTACCACGCGCCAAGCACTTTCCATGTGTGCCCGACTCCGGTCGCGGCGACTGGCTCTTTCGATTAGTGTGATGTTCAAGGTGTACTCATGCTGTAGTGTGTAGTGGTACTTCATTCTTTGTCGTGGCTGAATTATATTGCATTGTATGCTATACCAAACTCTGTACATCCATTCAGCAGCAGACAGACATTGAGGTTGTTTCCAATTTGGGGCAATTATGAATAACGCTGCTGGGAGCATTCATGCACAGATTTTTGTGTGGACATAGGTTTTCAGTTCTCTTAGGTGTATACCTAGCAGTGAAATGGCTGCATCATGTGGCAATCTTGTGTCACTTTTTGAGGAGCTGCCAGACTGTTTTCCATGGCAGCTGCACCATTTTATTAATACACTCCCACCGGCAGCCAGTGAGGGTTTCAATTTCTCCCCATCCTTGCTAACACTTGTAATTTTTCCATTAAAAAAATTATACTCATGCTCGTAGGTGTTAAGTGGTGTCTCACTGTGATTTTGATTTGTGACCTCAATGTTGCCATGAGCCCATGCGTGGCTGTCAGAGTGACTGCGATCGAACCCAGGCTCTGCCATTCATGGTTGTGTCACTTTGGGCAAATGTCTCAACCTCCCTCTCAGTTCTTTTCAACCTCATCGTACAGGTAGAGAAACACCATACATCATCCTCAGTTAGTGAGGATTAAATGAAACAATGAACATGAAGTTCTCGGCTCAGTGCTTGGCCCATAGTGCTCAGCAAGTAGTAACTGCTATTCTCAGACTTGCTGGTTTGAAGTGTTCCTTCCCCGCCTCCCACACTGATCACCAGGAAAGCAGCCACAGTGCAAGTCACAACAGAAAAGGGGAGAAATGCACGAGCTGCCTACAAAATTCATTTCCAAATTCTGAGAGTCATTTGAGAGTCACTTTACCTGTGATATTTTGGGATCTCCTCCTCCTGCTTTAGCAGGATTGGCTGGATGTGAAAGTGCCATGCATACGAACTAGACGGGGCACCTCCTGACACCATCGAAGTCACCATCTAACCAGGTGACCACGTCATTTACATGTGGTCCTCCGTGTCTGACATTGCAGCGTGACATTTAACTGGACTGTATTTTCATCTAACTACATGTTACTCACTAGTCTACGTTTTGGACATTCTAAACGTAGGCAGAGAAACTACTCCCCTGAAATGACATATTTAGTTTCCCAGCACAGTCATTAGCTCACTGTCTCAAGCTTTTATGCCAGTAACATAAAAGTCTCTCATGAGCTGAAAGATTCTCAACATTAGTTCTGCCAGCCTACAGTTAAATTATTCTACTGAAGGCTATACTCTATTTAGGTATTTAGAGAATTCATGTTATTATATTTTTGTGTTATAAAATCATCATAGTAAGCTAAGGCAAATTATACAGTTGACCAGATATATATACTATGTGAGCTAGCAAAAGGTGTAACACTCTTTTAGTATGATTTTCATTTGTTTTAAAATATTTACCACACTACTTTATCCATTTTAGCTTTCTAATGTTTCAAATGCAACAAAAAATTTCTCTTCTATAAAATTTTCCCAAACCAAATCAGAAATGACTCTAGAAAAACATTGGGACTTTAATAGTATTATTAATATTTATTGCATTATATTCTAAACATCTTATTCTAAGCCAAGGAATAGATTTTATTCTGACTGACTACAGGTCTAATATTGGATATCTCAAGTGAGGGTACTTTGAGGCCAAATAGCATAAAGGCTCAACTACTCCAAACAAGATAAAGAAGTTATTTGGAAAGACAAACAGCCCTAAAAATAAGCTTCCTGGCCAGGCATGTTGGCTCAAGACTGTCATCCCAGCCCTTTGGGAGGCTGAGGCAGGAGGATTGCTTGAGGCCAGGAGTGTGAGACCAGTCCAGGCAACATAGCCAGACACTGTCTCCAAAACAAATAAAAAAGTAAGCTTCCTATAAAATATGCTCTTAAAGGCAATCTAATCCATGGAATATTCATTATTTGTACTTGTCACCCCCCTGAAAGATAAAGTCTTTCAAGATTCAGTGTCCCCTCTCCCTACCCGAGCACCCATTGGTCAAGGTAGCAGTCACTCACTGATAGGCATACGTGGTGCTTGTAATGCCAGTGGGAATTCTGAGGTTTGAGAAGGAGTAAATTAAAAAGAAGTTGGAAAAAGAAGAATGAGTAGGAAATCAGAGGAAGAAGGTAGAGTAGGGAGAGAGAATGAAGTACATATTGTTAGGAAAGGTAGAATGTTTACAGTCATCAAATTTACTCAATTTTCCTGCCTGTTCGGCCCTGTCTCTATGTGGTATCCACTTACACATCAACGACTCATACATATTTATCTCCAACTTCAGAGCCTCCCCCTGCGTCACCCCCGTGCAGTATCCAGGACAAGAGTATGGCCCACGTACCATATGTCCAAATATTTAGAAGTTGTGCATCAAGCTAAAGACACTAAGTAAAATATGTTTTAGCTGGTGTGGGACCCCACAAATCACAAATACACACACACACAACTAACACGCAGGCGCATCTGTGTCTGGGGACCTGGCGTATGATGCTGGTACAGGGGACGCGTGACTGTAAACCTTGGCTCCTTCAGGACTCACAGTGTCAGGCTCTTGTAAACGCTCCTCCACATCTGTGTCCTTGAAACTGCCTGTCCCGAGCTGAGCTGCGAGGACTACAGGCTTGTGCTGCTGCTCCCAAGGAGGGGAGGGAGGGTGTGAGCCCTGGGGGTATCAGGGCAGGGACAAGGCAAGTCAATTTGTCAAATCTCTCTCAGATACCAAGGGTGTAACAGGGTCTTACATAATCTGTTATTATGCAAGAGTATTACAGAAAGTATAGTTTCCCAGAAATACCAAGAACCCACCTTTTCCATTGTATTTATGTTCCAGTTTATGATTCTCGGGGGTCCTTGTAAATTAGCATGGAATTCACAAAAGTTGCACACAAAGTCTGAGGAACCCTTTGTAATATTAAACAATTTGTATTCCTCTTGATATGCATATATGTGACATGTAATATAAGAACTGCAAGATTGATTCTTTCCTAGAATCACCTAGAAGAGGACATTGAACTCCAGAATTGCAAACAATTTTAATTCTTATAAAAATATTTAATACAATTTAAACTTCAAAAAACAAAAAATCTTAGATATATAATTTTTAATATTTGATATTTATCCATAATTTATATTTTAATTCTAATAATTTAAAAACTTTTAGAAAAATAACTTTTTTAGAAATTAACATGAAAAATAATTTTAAAAATTTTACATAGATGCACATTTTACATTAAATACATACAAATTCAGCATACTTTGGGTGTGGGAATGGGAAGAAATCTTCATCCTTCAAGACATTTCTGTCAAAACACAAATTATGTGAAATCCTCTTTTATAACAAATGAAATGACAGGAAGAAAAATAAATTTTATGGAGCAAATATACAATCATTTGTGAATTATGAGTGTCTTTATTTACCGCCCATTCAAACATTGCCAGGCTATCAAAGAACAGCTACACATCTGCAATGATAAACTTAGTCATCTTTGAAATTTTGTCGATTTGTCACATAAAAATGATAATTTTTTATTTCATTTTGAAGGCCTATCTGTTAAAGCAGGAAAATAGAACATATTCTTCTTTAGCTTGACTTTCCACTTTTAAATATTTAGACATGTGTGGGCTCCATTCCTACACATTCTCCAGGCCACAAAAGTGTTGAGAGGCACATAGTAGGTATTCGATAAACCTTTATTGAATGAATGAATGAATGAATGAATGAATGTATGCACGAGTTTGCCCACCCCTGTCCCGTCATCTGCCTACCTCTTCATGACCTCCCCTGCTTCCTCGGGAAATCATCCTAGAGTGTGCACCCCCCCCCCCAGCTGTGCAGTTTTCCTTTCTCAGGTCTTACATAAAATGC